TACCTTAAGGACGTTGCGATACGCTCTAAAAAGCACACATCACTACGTGAGGGCACATGCCTCCCACATGGCCCAAGTTCAGCTGCACAAAGCTCTGCAGTTCAGCATTCCACCGCGACAGGATCAGTAAAACGTCCCACTGACATACCGGCTATGCTTCCACTCGGCGCGGAGGTCCTTCCACCGCTCGTTCCTCATATTCTGAACAGAGAAGACGAAGAGGCGAGCATATTCGTCCACACACTGCCGCACATCGTCGATCAGCTTTGCCTTCGTATCCGCCCCCTTGCGGCTAGTGGTCTTGGTCAGGGCAACTGTAACAGGCCAATGACACGCAGTTAGATACCACGTACACACCACTGCCCTTGACCTGGACGTTGTATCCCACATCGCACATCTTAAGCGCCAACTTACGCAACAATAACAATGTTGCGACGTGTGTGCTGTGCGAGATAACACTGACATGTAAATAACATAACATCGCCCCGTGTAGTGGCGATGCTCGAGCGAAGCAGCGTGGCAAGCAAGGTTAGACACCACGCAGCACGTTCCGGTCCAATCAGGGCAGAGCGATGAGTGACGATTTGTTGACGATTTCGCTGATTTGCCTGGTCACGTGACCCGATCCCGCAGTCGTCGTGTCGTAAAGCAGTAAGGACTAGGCGAACTCCCTTGACAGTCAGTTAAGTCATGCACGTGATGTCCTGAACACGGCCGCCTGCCATGGCGGTTGGTTATTAAAACGTCTATCGCTCACACGGAACGATTTTGTGCACTTTGCCCATTAATCGACCCTAATTCCCAACTGCAATTGCCACCCGACCCGCAAGAACCGGTGGCTAAAGACGACAAAAAGACGATTGACAAAACACAAGGCGATGCCTCTTCTAAGGCTTAATGTTCGTACAGTTCGGCGACGGGGTGGTATTGGGGATTTGGACCACCGATCCCCGAACACTTCAGGCTGTATCCACCTTTCAAGCTGCCTCCTGCAACACTGAGCGGCGTGGCGGTCTGTCCAAACAGCTACCGACTACAGCCGGCTGCGACGGACCGTCCGACACCATCGCAGACTGCCACGCAGTCTTGGTATCCAGTCTTATAATAATAGCGATTTGCGCGTTATGTCTTAACGACTGACAGGGCCATATCGAGACGGACGCCCCCCCCCCCATATTTGGGTGGCAGGTGGAGTGCAGTGGTGGCATAGCGGGGACCCCAACCCAAGACCAATAGGCCCACAGTCGAGCGCCCTAACCACTATACCGCCACCGCCCCTAGTCTACAACCTTGCGATATGGTATAACCCGCCACCAACGCCGACGGCGGCGTCCGACCTGAGACATCACGAACTGTGAGGACCGAGTCGGCACCGCCGCCGCCCGTGATAGCTGATCCGTCGCTGCCGCCGCCCGTGATAGCTGATCCGTCGCTGCCGCCGCCCATGATAGCTGATCCGTCGCTGCCGCCGCCCGTGATGGCTGATCCGTCGCTGCCGCCGCCCGTGATGGCTGATCCGTCGCTGCCGCCGCCCGTGATGGCTGATCCGTCGCTGCCGCCGCCCGTGATGGCTGATCCGTCGCTGCCGCCGCCCGTGATGGCCGATCCACCACTTCCGCCGCCCGTGATGGCTGATCCACCACTTCCGCCGCCCGTAATGGCTGATCCATCGCTTCCGCCCCCTCCCCCCCGTGATGGCTGATCCATCACTACCGCCGCCCGTGATGGCTGATCCGTCACCACTGCCGCCCGTGATGGCTGATCCATCACTGCTGCCGCCCGTGATGACTGATCCATCACCACCGCCGCCCGTGATGGCTGATCCATCACCACTCGCCCGTGATGGCTGATCCATCACTACCGCCGCTCGTGATGGTTGATCCATCACTTCCGCCACCCGTGATGGCTGATCCACCACTACCGCCGCCCGTGATGGTTGGTCCTTCACTACCGCAGCCCGTGATGGCTGATCCATCACTACCTCCGCCCGTGATGGCTGATCCATCACTACAGCCACTCATGATGGATGGTTCATCACCACTGCCCGGTGAGATGGCCAGGTCATCACCAAAGTCATCTCTGGCGGCTAGTGACACACCAACAGCTGCGGTAGCTGGTTGTCCGTGACACTGACGGGACAGCACCACGGCCGCCGACCATGACACTGGCATGGCATTATTACTGTCTTTGAGGACTGACATTTCACACGTCTTGCCGCCTACCAGAGTGGCCGACTTGTCAGCCTGTGGTCAACATGTCCATGCTACCAATGCCACCTCTAATTATCCGCCCATGACCAGTCACAATGGGGCCACTTTTGTTGATTGTCATCTCTGCCAACAGTGATGACCAGAATGTCACCACCGCCAACTGTGACAGCTGGGATGTCATTGCCGCAAACTGAGATGGCTGTCACATTACTACCAACAGTTGCAGCTGGAATCTTCTGCTGTGGCAGGAGATAAGTCTCATTCCCATCCTAACTGAACTTGCTTACAGTTTCTTTAGGGGCATGTGTGCTTGAAATTGTTAAAAATTTTGCCAGAAATGCAACCATTTTTTCTATTAATGACTGTTTTCATTACATGATCCACAGCATACCCAGCATTCCTTGCTTTAACCAACACCTACAATATGCATTTGTACACTAACCTCCTACCTGGGCAAGGTCAACCAGCATTATCCATACTAACTTCAAGTAATGGTTCCTGCCTGAACAGCTATGGCATTGGATGGACAAAATCAGACCACAGTTAGCAGAACTGCACATTTTTGTCCCTTTTTGCTCTGTATTAATATCAAGTAATCCCCTTGGCCAGAATTGGAAAACACTTAATGCTACCTGAACAACATGACATAAATCCCAGGGGCCCAGGTGTTGCATACTGCTGCAATTATCAAGAAATTATGAAGGTGTTACAGCAGTTTCACATAAAATTTCCCCACCATTTTCCAGGCAAAAATTGTTTCAAAAAATATGTTTCATAAAAAACATCATATAATTTGTTCTGATAGCTACAGAGATCACAGGATTCCTTGACAGTAATCTGGCCAGACAGCAAAGATACACATTACACTAAACATATCTGGTAGAGCAGTGACACCCAACAATAACCTTAGAGTATGTACACCATGCATACAAGCGCTCTGAGTTACGTGTCATTAATTGCAGCACAAAAAGACAACACTTCAAAAGAATTATTTGCTGTGAAGTTAATTCCAAGCAGGCTTTCCCCAAAAGCATCTAAAAAAGAATGTTAAAAATCTGACCCAGGTGGGCATATTCTTATCATATTCTCTGAACCGTCCAGTGCCTGTAAAGCATGCAGGTAAGTTTGTAATATAACCTGACCTAACCCAACCTACTCCAATGCCTTCCCCTACTCCCACTCCTACTCTCTCCTTGTCCTGCTTATTGTAACACTTATTATTCCCAACCTAATCTCCCTACAGCCCATCATTCACAACAATATGTGGGGAAATATCATACAGTGATGTCATGGTTAATTAAGATGGCATAGGTAGTTGCTGCGCCCAATCAGCAACCAACACCTGAAGCTACACACTGAACAAGCAAATGTCCAGCAGGATGGCCTCAAAGGGTCAGTATGTGCTATCAGTATTACAGACCAACATCTGTGTTATATTATCATTTATCTATTTTAAAGTGAGATGATAAGATATCCCTAAAATTTCCCTGTTTTATGATTAGGTTTAACATTTGATGACACAAAAACATCCATTAATGTACAATGCATTTTTACAGCACAAGGAAAAGTGCCAAAAATGACTGAAAATTCAGCTAAATTTGACCTGGCCAGAGTTTAACACAAACAGGAGTTTCAGTACATTGGTGTTATGAAGCCGCCTGGTGCAGAGGGCAAATTTTTGGCGAAATCGCCATCTGATAAATGGTACGGAAGTGAAACCTCTAGGAACTTCAGCATATTATAAGAGCAAAACCTCAGAACAGAACATGCTGAATAATACAACTTGCAGAAATACAATGGTAACCAAGTCAAGACGCTCACCCGTTCTATCTCTTCTTGACTTCGGCATGTTGACAAAATAAAAAAGCTCAAGCCTCCAAAACTGGAAAACTACGGAAAACTGAGCGACAGTTGATTGCTTGAAATACAATCGTCGATGTGATAACCCTCACAAACCTAGAGCCCGTTACACACATCCCGCGTTCTCATCTACACGCGGTGTTCTTTACATTGACATAGGGTGTCACAGATACGCCGTTACTGAGTACCGTTACAAAACGTGGAGCTGCCAGTTTAGCTACCAAATTAATTGTAGGAAGGATATTTCTAAAAGTAGTAAAATCGTAAAACCGTCTTCACTGAAGTCAATGCAATTCGACAATGTCAATGAACACTCATGATTGTCTGCAGTTATTTGTGATGGTTGAGGCTCTGTCGAACTAAATTTCATTAAATGCTTCCGATTGGAAGGGGTCACGTGAACACCAAACGCAAAATGTGGACGTCTCAAAATATCCATAACGTCATAACGACGTCTCTGAAATCCTTTTATTCCACTGGCCATGCAACGATCAAGGCCAATAAGAATATAATTGTTCATTCGTTCATACCCGGCGTTTGCGAGCATGGTTTCCAGATATAACGGCCGTCAACTGGCTCCCAATCAATGTCGTGCAAGGTAAAATGATGCAATCAAACAATGGCACACTGAGAGGCATGTTCACTAAGCAAGGACATTGTGTTATCTAGAGCAGTCTTTTCCACCAAAAAGCATACCAGTAGTTAAAAGTGAGCTTATTTCAACACGTCTGGTGTTTGCTTCAATGCCTTCAAGTGTGGAGCGTTCCCTTTAAGTTTCGATGTGAAATGAAGATAAGGTCTCAGCTGGGTTCAGCTGAGGGACGTTCCCGCGATGTCCGCCCTCCTTACCAGAGTGAGAGGGAGGTGACGCCATATAGCCACAGGAGCTGAGTGCGTCATCAAGCCCTAATGACGACGAAGACGGCCGGGGGACAGAAATCCGTCCTCCAAACGCTTCAGGGACTAAAAAAAACATGAAAAGAAAACATTGAAAAAACACCAGCAAGCCACGGAGCGGAGCGACATAGAATTTCATGCACCTTTTCCAGCACCATTCCTTTTGTGTCCGGGAACAGTTTTAAGTTCAAATCAAAGTCTTGCGCTGGCCGAAATAAGTCCGAGGTCAAAGTCAAGAAGTGGCCATCATAACTTGTTTAGGCATAGAAAACTTTGTGAATATTGCAGAAGTGTCCCATTGTGTATGTCCTGTGCATTGATTGGTCTTGGTTGTCTTTAAGTGTTCCAAGGTCTCAAACCACGTACCGTGCAGGGGAAGCATTCCGGCAGTCTCTGGCCAGGCTGGCGAGAGCCAATTTTAGAGCATCTTCTCTGAGTGATTGGGGTCGTATTTTCTACGTGATTACCAGTTAGACAAATTCTTAATACGCTGTATATTCTTGGACTTTTTGGCATGTGGCGCCCGTGAGGAAGATTTTGGCCACGAGCCTGATTGATAGAACGGAAGATTTCGTAGGCATTACGCCGTTTCATTTCACAGGCGATGGAAATACCTAAAGGGATGCAGGTGATCCCCATCAATCTTGCACGAGTGGTCGACCCGTACTACATATACAACCATGCTTTAAATGTTTCTTATTTTTAGACTGTTGTGTTGTGACATGTCGCTTATGATATCGGTAGAGACCCGATCTCATTCATTTTTTCATTATTTTCAATCTTGTCAAATTCTTATTCCAGGTCGCGTAAAAACTGCGTATACCAGCCCTATGGAGACACCCAGGTACAGCACCACCAGAGGAGTAAGTTAAACCGGCGCTTGCCATTTGCTAAGAGGTCAAATATAGTCCCCTGGTAACCATATTTGCATCCCTCTCCTTTTCCATTCTCCGCAACGTGAGGCACAACGTGCGGGAGATGATCCCTGAACTGTTGCCAAACTTGATCGTCTTCACATGATCCTGCCCGCCAGTACACCACAGCTGATGCGGTTTCAACTTGCAACAGGGACTGAAAACTTGTTTTGCTTCATCGACAGTGCAATAAATGGCCAGATGTACTCTCTGGTATCGCTTTTCGATAAGCAAACAAAAAGCTTTTGACATCGGACGTGCAAGCCATAGTGAAGCTGAGAGGTAAAAGCACATGAAAGATCACCCTGCGAAGCTTTTGTTACTGTGCAAACACACGTGCGCGCGATGATGCCTGATATGACCAACTGGTCTAGATAACAGTATGTACTGTGCTGAGAAGAAGCTACGACACTGCGATAATATTTTTCCAACGGCACGGCGCACAGGGCATCCGTCAATGGGGGAAAGCCACTTATAGAGCGCTGTGGGTCTCAGCCCCTGCCCCCTCCCCGGTTCCTGCGACCCCAGGCGACCCCAGTTCCTGCGACCCCCTACGGTGGGGCAACTTAGACACATGCATAATTTGTATAACAATGATCATTTACGGGAATGTCAGCTGTTAAAGTCATGATTTCTCGTCCATCTTTTTTCATCCCAGTGTCGTGAGGATCTCATGACCTCGTCTCCTTATCAAAAATTGGTCGCACCGTTCCTGGCTTTAAGCATTCCGTTCGGAGCATTTTATCCCAAAGCGAATCCCGCTAGCATGAATTGTTCTGATATTCAATAAAGATGGGCATACTATCATTACCTTGACAGAATGCCTACACGAGGGGGGAATATGACATGACCGTGTTAGGTTTGCCCAGCTATTTTTCCTTTAAAACTTCATTTTTGAACCCACTTAACATGTCGGAACGTGGTGCGTGAATATTCAGAATGCAAAGTGGTTAGTGGTAAGTCCCTTTCAGGGCCGGCGATCTAATTTTTTCGATATTCGTGCATTCCAGGGAGTTACACATTCAGATGACTGAAGTGAGAACGTTGTCAAGGGGAGGTACATTTGAAAGGGAATATTTCTTCCTCGCTGAGAAAAAGGCCTGCGCTAGATGATGGACAAGTTTTCAGAAGTTTGTTTCAAGCTCACAGGGCTCCGGAGAATATCTGACATTTATCCCCCCCCCCGCCCACTGCCCTAAGGGAAATGTTGGCTACATGTCTTGACTGAGGGACCCTCCAATCATTTGAATATTTGGTCTCGCCATCTCTGGTGTTTTTATCGAACTGAATCGGTTCGAAGCTCGCCAAATTAAAGGATGATGCTCGCAAAAAGGTTATTTAAACGGCAGCAATATGACGTTTTCCAGCAACAGGTGATTCTGCGATGGCGAGGTATTTCTGCGCCTGTGTGATCTGATGTTCCTCATGTGCGCCACGCTATGCGCACCACGTCTGATGTAGCATTGAACTTGTGATAACATCGCGCGTTTAAATGTTCATCTGCATCCCTTTTCGTGCCATCTTTTGTGCATGCGATACTTTTGCTCCTAATTGACCATTAGGATGTGGTTCTGGCCATGTATGTAAGAATAGAGGTAAGGGGGGGGGGGGGCACAGCCCTCCACTTTCCACTGGGGCCAGGAATGTTCCACTGGGGCTTTCCATTGGGGCTCGCTAACAATGAACTATATCTGGCGATTTTGCGTGTGTGTGTGTGGGGGGGGGGGGGAGAGTCACCATCATTAACATGCAGAAGCAGACCAAGTCGGCTACGTGGAATGAGAGGCCAATACATGGCCGGTAGACCCATTCATGCCTAATGCCGGCAGTTTCCTCAGAGCTCATTTCCTGCTGTGGTGCGGTGCAAGGGGAGATAACTTGCACATAGATACTGTAGCAGGTGTCCAATGTATGCTTTACGCACCAGTAAGCAGTGACGCTGTTCCCTAAACATGCAGCAAGACAGTTATGCGATCAGTTCATAGTCAATCATGCTGAGAACGGCCAGGGCAGTGGCCGCCGGCGGCGGACGGGATCAGGGCCCAGACATCAAATATCAGAAATACCTGCAAGAAATGTGCTCAGTCTGTGACTAGGTATGTTCGGGGAGAACTCTGGTTATGCTGTTTTCGTCATATTATGTTTGGCAATTAGTATTTGAAGCTTCGGAATTTGGCTCCGCCTAAAAATCTGTGACAAATCTAATCTCTTGAAAAGCAGCCGGCGAAATCTAGGAGCATGAAAACTCTGCTGCACCTATGGGCACAATGATTTGCATTCAAAATCCTGACCAGCCTGTGCCCTGGTCGTCTTTTAGCACTTACCCTGTGGTAGCTTCCCCAATGGCCCAAAATGCCACCCGCTGGTGCAATTTCACCTCCCAGGCAAAACAGCTTTCGGATGGATGAATAATGTTAGGAAGCTGGATAGTCTTATTTGCAGAATGACATGGATGAGTCAAACAGGCAAAATCATGCCCCAACGGGAAACAGCTGTACATGTACATCTAGCATAGGAACCATCCTATTCAGTTATTTCCAAAACGCGTTGCTGTGAATTAAGAACGGACAATGCACTCCATCTCCACCCCTCCCCTTCGGTCACCGGGCTGCTTTCCTGTGTAAGTTCCTTAACTATACTCTGAGCCTGCCCCCCCCCCCCCACTTTTTGAAACGCTCTTCACCTGTGGTTTTGGCCACACACAGTTGCAGTTGTAGCCATATCATGAACCAAAATGACCTTTTTAAGAAGCAACGTTCGGTTGAGAATAATGTTGCCTACAATCAGAGCAACACTGATTTATGGCGCTTCAAGAAAGATGACCAGCATTCAGTTTTAGGGGTTTCAGTTCGCTATTTTTAATGGAACTGAAATCACAACATAGGACATCATCCACAGAACATTGGTAATGCGATCAATGGGCTTTAAGAAAACAGTCCCAAGGGCCTTCTGCTGCGAAATAATGAAACGTTCGTTCCAGATTGTCATATGTAATGTATCAATATGATCATAGATCATTGATACAATTATCTTGTGCCATTCAAGACCTGACCTGCAATTCAAGTTGTTAATCGATGACGCATTTGATTGTTCGCCGTGATGAGCGATGGCGGACACAATGTATTTTCAGTGAGAACATACTGGTGTTCAAAGCAAGTGTTCAAAGGAGTTCTTATTCTTGACAAGTGTTTTTTCTTGGCGTCAGTCTTTGTCGTCTCAGATGTTGTTGATTGTCTGTGGTGTCCTCTGCTAACGGTCCCTGTCTTCAGCGATCCTTTACTCAGGTTCTGACGAAGGCATGCCCTCATCCGTCTCAAC